CAGAATGGCTCAGCTTAAAAAAATAAATAAATAAAAATAAAAACATTTTGGGCCAGCAGAGTGGCTCAGTTGGTTAACAGCTCGCTCAAGAGTGAGAGCGCTGAGCAACAGGGTCGCCAGTTCGATTCCCGGCCTGAGCTGTGCTGCCTCTGTGCTGCCAACAGGTGGCAGGATGGCTCAGCTAAAAAAATAATAATAATAAATAAATAACATTTTATCTTGCAATTACTCCTTGGGTCCACAAGACCCGTGTGTGTCTGAGCTACAAGATGGATCTAGCAGTCTTGTTTTCCCTGTACTGTGATGCTATGTTAAGATGCTATCTTAAGAACTATTTTCTCACACTCATCAGTTACTACCAACCATGCTCACAAGTAAAATAATGCGAAAGCAGAAGGAGGGGAAACTGCCGAGGAGGCTGAGGCCACAGTGAAGTGATCACCATCCTTTGCTTCCATGTGACAATCCATTAAGAACTTTTCATCTTCCTCCCAAAATGGCAAGAAGAAGACAGTCAGCAGCAAAGGCTGTTCACATACACACACAAGCAGCACTTGAGGACACTGACAGCAAAACGTGCCTTCACAGGACGGTACCCGATCAACTTTCTCAAAACCAGGAAGCAGGGAGTGAACAATATGTGAAGACAAGGGCCGTCCAGCTGTTCACGCTCAGGAAGGACGCTGACTCACGATGCTCAGTGTCCACAAGCCCCACCCTCCCTCCCATGGTGCTAAAAGCATGTGACAATACACAAAGATTTGTATCAAACTTTCTAACAGTTGTTTTAAATTGTTGCTTAGTCTTACTTCTGTAAATTATTTGTAAAACAACTTAAAAGGACAAAAAAAGAAAAGGGTCCATGGGACCCAGATGATAAATGGTGATGACTATTTTTCCTGGTAATCCAGACGAGTACAGGGTAGGAGAAAGTTCTGGAATCTCACTTCCTAAACCTTCTACAGCACTAGTTAAATCTCCAGTCTAAGATTCGGTAAAGGGGGTTTTCTTCCCAAATCCTTCACCTCTGTGTAGTTTGGGGTGGTTCTCCTACAAGAAATGGCCTCTCCTTATTTTATTTCTGACACATAACTGGAAGGTCAAGGGCTGCTTTGCTGCCATTTCTGATTTAACTGCCAAAAATGAGAAGAGTAATGCCTCGATTTAAATAAAAAGCTTTGCCATCACACACTTCACCTAACAAGCTGAGGGCACATGATCAGATCCTAAATATTTACCATGAAGTCTTCTGTGGTTCTACCTGCCATATAACCTCCTGAAAAACTCAGATCTTAAAACTGCTTCCAAATATGCCTTATTTATATATTCTTAGACGTTAATATGTTTCTGCATAACAAAATTATGATGTGTGGGACTGTGTCAGATGGTGGCTGGACTTATCATGGTGATTAATCACTCCTTTAGGCCTATAAATGATGAATAACTGTGGTGTACCCCTGAACTAAAATATTGCATGTTAGTTACACGTTAATAAAAATATTTTAAAGAAATTATGATATGTGAATTTTTACAGTTTTTGCTACAGGATTTTCATGTAGTTGTTACATTGTATTTGCAAGCTGTGTACTATCTCTAATTTTGTAGTCTTTGTGTTTTAAAGCACTCAACACAAAAAAGAGCTTACATGTTAAGTTACACTAAAGAACAACTATCTCACCCAGTAAACTGGCTTCATCACACAGCGAGCCGCCCCCTTCCACCCCACAGCCCTGCCGGGGGCCGCCATCCAGCCAGCGGGCAGCACAAAGGAGACATCCAAGCACCAACCAGACACTTTCCACTTCAGGGATTGTTTTTCAGTTATTTTCCTATTTCTAAAGAGTTTCAAAACTTTACACAGTAAGCACTTCAATTAGATTATTAAGGAATATACTGAGGCTAGAAATCATCTGTATAGAAATTACCTATACTTACCTAACAGTTAATGAGCGTTAAGGTAATAAGAGTATCAAATAAAATACTTTTGGAACCAAAATAAACATTATATGTCGGAAAGAATTACTATTTCACATATACTTATAGTCTTACGCTTTTCAATAAGCTCATTAAACTCCACATAAAAACTAAACTTCACAAAATTTCCAGACATGAGTAAAATAAAAGAGACACCCTGAATCATATTCAAAGCACTATGACAGCTCTTCAAGGACTCGCGCTCTGCTGACAGACAGACCCAGCACCTGAGAGCAGCTCACCAGGCTCTGGGGTCAGAGCCCGCAATGGATCCTGCGCCAGTCGCAGGGAGCACCAGGCGCCTGGGAACAGTTCAGCCACAGCCTCCTCCTGCTGCTGGGTGTGGGGCAGAGAACCTATGCTGCAAGTTTACTTTTCAGAAGATCATCATTCTAAACACAAGATAATTCCTATCTCAGCACCACCTACATTTAAATTAAAGGCATTTTAAGTTCTCAGGAATTGTCATTAATTACTTTATAGCATAACAAGAAACTTTCCTTTTTTTTTTTTTTAAAGATTTTTATTGGGGAATTGGGGGGATGGGAACAGTGCTGGGGAGTTGGGGGAAGGGCAACAGACAAATTGCTGTCTTTTTGTTCTTCAGTCTAGTTCTGGAGGACGTTGCTTCACTGGCCCAAGTTGGCACCATCATTGCGCTCTTCCCAGGCGAGGCAGATCAGTCGCCGGCTTCTGGACAGCCGCTCACTGCGGCTGCTGGCTACACACCGTAGCCCATGGCAACCCACTGCCACAGGGGCTGCAGCCTATGCCGTCGCCAGCGACTCACAGCAGCCCAGCTCCAGGTTGAGCTGTTGTTCAGCATCTTAGCTGTAGAGGGCAGTGTCACTGGCCCTCATATGTGGGATCTGAACTGGGGCCCTCTGGCATCCCAAGCCAGTTCTTAACCATCGCGCCACTCGGCCGGCCCGAAACTTTCCTTTTTTGATTGAACTCGTGATGTACAATTGTATGACCAAAGAGAAAGTCACTAAAACATCTGCTCTTACAGCACCAATGGCATATCCATGATTATAACACACAACAGCCTCATCTAGAAATCTGATTCATAGCTCAATACACGGGAGGAAGACAACAGTCCAACATGCTGCCTATTTCACCTGTGCACATGAAAATTTTAAAATAAGCATGCAAATTGAGAATGTGAATTTAAAAATAATCTGTGCTGCAAAAATTGGAAACATTATGAATGCAGCTAAAGTTATGTCTAGAGAAAAATCAATAGGCTTACTGTTTATGTTTTTAAAGCCTGCGAATTAGTGATCTACAAATCTTTCACAAGAAGTTACAGAAATAGGGGCTGGCCGAGTGGCTCAGTTGGTCAAGAGCTCGCTCAAGAGTTTGAGCTCTGAGCAACAGCGGTTTGATTCCCGGCCCGAGCTGAGCAACCGCTGAGCTGCCAACAGGTGGCAGGATGGCTCAACTTAAAAAAAAAAAAAGTTACAGAAACAATAGCAAATTAAACCAAAGATAATTGAAAATAAGATATTACATACAATAAGAAAAAGAAACAAATACACTACATAAAAGAATTGAGGCTATAATGAATTCTTTTATAAGAATAACATGTTTAAATTAACTTGTATTGAGCTAATGAAAAAAGGCACAAAGACTCATCATTAAAAAAATGAAGAGTTATCAATACTGACATCACAGACACACAGAGGAGAATATCCCTATAAACAACTTAATGCCCCAAACTGGAACATTACAAGAAATGACAAATTCTGAGAAAAAGTACAACTGAACAGTCTGATGACTCTTAAGTAAACTGACTGTGGAATTAGAGCCTTGCCACAAAGGCAATGCCAGTCCCCAAGGGCTTCAGTCTTACACAAGCTCATCCACAGTCCTCTCAACTCAGCTCACCATGTAAGGCCAGCATAACCTCAACACAAAACCTGGCAAGAAGGGAAAGCTATGGGTCACTCTCACAAAAACATGTGCTTTGGGAAAAAAAAAA